TATATATATAAAAATATATTCATAGCTGGAAGGATTATACAGATCTGAAAGATTACCATCTTCAGGTGCCAGTGGCAAGTAACTACTGCTATTGCTTTGGCTAGCATTAGCCACATTTTATTAATGCAGCTTTTAACAGTCAGTTATGGGTAGTCGTAACTTGCCTTCCCGCATGCCTTCATGATTAGCCTGCTCCACAATCAGCATCCTTAGTTCAGCCAGGTCAGCCTTCAGCTGCTCCACAGGCTCTTTGGAATGGCTGGGCCCTACTTGCAATCCATCTAGCCAAGTAAGAGAGAAATGCAACACATTACCCTCACCTTCATGCATTCTATCAGCTCATAAAATGCATCCACCAACCTCTGCATACATTTTCTGTAAAAACAGTATCTACTTTTCTATAAGGTACAGCAGGTCCCCAAACTATCAATCTGCCACATACACAGCTTTGGTTTCACATTCAAAATGTGCTGTTTGATTAATTATTTCTGAGTTTACGCCTAGTTGCAGAAAGGAAGTTAGTTTTTAAAGACAAGAGATAAAAGAGTTCTCCTTTCAGTTTTTTCCTACTTGCTTTAGTGCTCCGCTCCTCACAGAAACATTTGCTGTCTTCAAAAGGCTGAAACCAGTCTCAAAATTCAGAGACAGCGTGAATGCAACATCATCAGCGTCTCCTCCATGCAACATCTCCAGATGCTACATGTTCCTCTGTTCTTTGTTTAAAAGAAGAATTAAAAGGAAATTCCTTTTACCACTAGAAAGAGATTGCCACAAGCAACAAGCTGCCATGGTGCAGCCCCAAAAACCACCCATACAGTTGGTTAGGCAGGAGCAGCGTCTTGTACATGGGCCAGAAATAACTCAGCAGTGAACATAAGAAGTAACAAAGGTTAAAATAAATACTTGTTATAAACACAGTGCAAGATAACAAGGAGTCTACTGAGTCACCTTTAGGTGCAAGAGTGAGCATTAATGAACAGGACAGGCTTAAGAGCTGACCACCAGTCGATGCTGCCCTAAATCCAGCCTCTGTGCAAGAGACCTACGGTTGGGATTAGGATGTAGGGGCTGGGAGGGGACACAGATCAGGCGGATCAGGATGCAGTGCCACTAGAGGTCACTGGCAATTCAAGGCCTCTTGCTGAGCCCTGGCTGCCCATTGGGATCCTGACGATTCCAACCCAGCACACCAGATCCTTCATCCCTGCTGGTTGCTAGGACAACCTCAGCACCCAGGCTGCTGCACATCTGCGGTGCCCCAGGACTGCTTTGTCACGCCTCTCCAGCATCTCCAGAGAGCTTCAAATGCTCAAATTGCCCTAAGAAGGACTCAATTACAGATTCTGTGTACACGGAGCACTTATCTCTACCACACTCTGGGAACCAGCCTGACCTTTTCTTTTCTATAAACCTGTGGTGAAGATGTCACCCATTTAAGAGGCACTGGAAACACCCACTTGCTGAAAGAGATACGAGGGCTCATTAAATACCTATTACACTGACACACACTGTACTAGTAATGTGGCTACAGTGAAGGGACCTGAAATTAGCGGGGCCCTCCCACCCAAACACATGTAAACTATGGGCTGCAATCCTTGTCCCGCTGGCTTTTTTCCTATCCCCTCCTGTTTCCCCAGAGCTCCGTCACACACAGTAATCCATTCTTAAAAGAGGACCATGATGAGTTGAGACAGTGCCATTACACAAGGGATCAACACAGCAGGTTCACACCCCAGGCTAGCCAGAGCCGAAGAGCATTCAAGCTGCAAATGCTGATTCATGGAGATGTCTCTGAAGTAGATTTAAATCAGCGAGCTCAGGCATTGTTTGCAGCCACAGCACAGAACTCCACAATCCCACCCAAGCAGGATAGGCAGAGAGTCATTACAAGAGTAATTCCTTAATACCTCAGTCAGACATAAAGAACATACACATACTTATGTGTAGATTAAAGGCCTCATCAGCTGTAACCTCTTGAAAATTTTCAATTCAAGAGGGCATCAATGGAAAAATTCACTTTTCTTCAAACTGATCCAGAAGTAAATGTTCTACTTTTTACCTTGTAACAGTTTCTCTTTCATAGAGCGACAGGCTTGCATGTATTTGGAGTACAAGTTAGAGGGTATTTTATCAGCTCTGTAACAAAACAGAAAAAGAAAATACATTCATTATACCACATAACCACGTTCAAACTCCAGCTTTATTAAGTAGAAGCCCAAACAACAGCTGTGCTATGAAATGTAATTAGAGGCTCCTAAGGACACAGAGCATCTGAAGCATTTTTTCATGTTCATCTGACACAAGGGCAAGAAATCTCTATCTAAGGCTTTCATAGCAAGTGTTATACACATGTAACACACACTACACAAAAACAATGCTATATATAATAACACATGCATTAATACCCATTCTATATATAACACGTGTCTAAGATCACATGAGAGTAAGTTGTGACATGCAGGATTCACACATCTAAAACACTGATGTGATAGAGGTCAAAGTTTGATCTCTCATGATTGCTGGGCAGGCACTCAGTACTAAAAACATATCACATGAGGCTCCCCAAAACCCAGCTGCTTCTCTCACAACTCTAACTTTAAACAATGATCCAGTCTTTAATTTTAGAGCCAGTCTGGAATGACGAGGCAGGACCAAATGCCTCATCTGTAGGCAGTGTCACGAACATTTTTTCTTCATGATAGGTTACAGGGGAATTACTGGATTTTAAAGAAAGCTGCTTCTGCAATGCAGAAAGGCACTTCTGAACACGCATACAGGACAAGCTTGAGTTCTGAGAGGGGCTGTGTTCTCCTGGGGTGCCTCAAGAGCAGCTCATAAAGCATTAACAGACATGTCAGTTTCATCTTCCACTTCTCCGATATCCTTATCCAAAAAGCCCCAGGGGGGCTCATCTTCCTCATCAAATTTTATATTCAGCAGTATCCTCCAAAGTCTGCATAAAAATATAACCCGCCTGCAGCCAGAGGGCTGCATGGGACTCCTAGTTAATGGTTTCACAGTGGCTGGAGGACCAATTACAGAACTCAAGACATTCACCTGTACAAATAAAGTATTCCCTCCACAACTTGCACACCACGAGCCTGGCCATGAAGCCCTGCCAAGAGGGCTAGCCAGGGCTCAGCCTTCTACAAACAAGGTATCAAAGCCTCCAATAATCTGATGTGAAGTCAAATGGTCTGACAAGAAAAGTCCAGAAGCACAGAAAGTTACACTGGGAAGTCACAATACCTCTTTAAAGAATCTATAAAAGCCATGCGCACATCTGGGGTTTTAGGGAGCTGCAACAGAAAAAGAGGCAGGTTATGTACAAACTATATATTAGGCACATCTAAATGGGAGGATCAAAAAAGAGAAGACAAAACCAAATACTAACCACATACGGCCTGAGCAAAGCAGGAAGGAACCAGGAAGTATAATATGGTCGCCTGAAAATACTGAGACAGAAAATAAATACAGCAAAATATTAACCATGCCAAAGCTGTGCAGTGCCACCTCCTTACCACAACAATTAATTTGGCTCCTGCAAACAAGAAATATTCACGTTGCCATGAATAACCACAGATGAATCAAGCTCAGATTAGCCAACAGTTATTCATTTAATTTTACTTCTTATTTATTATCACATTTGTGGACTTTTGCAGGTGTGCACATGCCTTTTCACTCTTTACACAAATAACCTCTATTTAGATGACTACTGAGGAAGTGAACAACATGGGAAGAACTTCTCAAAACCTCCTTTGTTCATATCCTCAATTTTTCTTGTTTTGTTATTTTGATCTGGACTTGGCTTTTATTATTGTTATTATTATCATCATTATCATCACTACTACTGCAGCTAAAACCCAGAAGAGTTGGAAAGCATGTGGTACCTGGCTTCTATCACAGATGTTGGGATCTTCCTTGTGTTTTCAAATATCTGAAGGGCCTTTTCAACATCACGAAGTGCCTGGCCCTGGGGCTGGCTCACACAAGTAACAAGGAAAGAAAGATGTAAGAAATCAAGGATGACAATACTTTCCCTGCTTGTTCTTCCAGAGTTAGTTAACAGTCGTCTGTGCTGGGAAGTGACTGAGCAAACACAATTGAATAACAAGAACTACCTGATACGCAGAGTAAAACTGCAGGATGGAGGAGCAGGGCCGGAACCATCAGCCTGCCTCTTTAAGGTTGTTATTTGCAACAGCTATTCCGGGTCAGCTCAAAGATCCATGTAGTGCTGTACACACCTCCAACAGCAACTGCAGCAGATACTCCTGCTTAACATCACATCACGTATCCAGTTGTACCCCATCAGGGACAGTATTTTTTCTGCTCCAGGTTTGGTTTATTGTTATTCTGTTTTAGTTCGTACACTTAGAATTAAACCCCATGCTACTACACTCCAGGCAGAGGGACTGCCATCCTGGGTTTCACTTGTCTGAGCTCTAAGTAAGCTTAAGACTACACCAACTTGTAACAGTTTCTCAACTGACAAACAGATCAGACTTGGAAGAAATGCCATTAACTCTTCACTTAAAACTTCTAGTTCATCACAGGACTAGATTTCATTGCAGTACACTCAGCTACCCTGTTGCCAGCCTGTATGTCACATACTGCAGTTGACTGACTGTATAAATGACGCCCCTAGTCTACGGTACTTGTGATCAAAACATAAGGAGGGACAATAAAGCCAAATGCTTCCTTTTCAATTACTATTATTACCCAAAACTTACCACAAACCACAGCGTGAAACTGCAGATTCCCTCCCTGACTCTCCTTTCAGTATGAACGCTTTGATAAAACACTAAAAAGATGACATGATATACTGAAAAGAATCAATATATACATATAAAATGCTTTCCTATGTGATCAAATCATTTGGAGCAAATCCCTCAAGGGAAGTGCTACCAAATCCAAGGAAATCAGCATATTTAATGTCACTAACCAATCTTAAAGCTGAAGAAGATTTGGCAGCATGCTTAAACTTGGTAGGAATGCCAGAGAGGTTGATAGCCTAAACTCTTTTCCAGAAGAAGAGGGACAGGACTGATGAGAAAACGGTTAGCTACACCAGCAGTACCTGCACAGACTCATCTGTGGATGACAAATCTTCATAGAGCCCCATATCTTCTATAGCAACCTATGTAACGTTACAGAGATACACATGGTCACAACACAGCTCATATTTGAACAGATTCAGGAAGAACTGTTTGAAAAGAGACAGTTTTGACTGACCTTGAGGTCAGCCAGTCTGGTTTTAGCTAGAGTGATGTACTCCAAGAGAATAGACCGATGTTTCGCTGGCACAAAAGGTGGGTACATTATATGGACCTGAAATACGAAATTCACAAGATTTGCCACTTTTACAGCCTAGAAATTCTGGTTAATGTTTACAGCTACTTACCTCAAATACTCCCCAAAGAATGTTATTGCTTCTTGTAGGATAAGCCATTTTCACGGCAACCAACAGGAATTTTTTCCCCAGCAACAACACAAACAAAAGTCACTGAAGTGCTCAAATTTAACTCCACGAAAGGAATTCTCCTTCTTGTCAAGTAAATAAAAATCTTGCACTTCCTTATTTCAGAAAGGTATTGAATAATGTATCAGCAGTAATGCAATTAGTATAACAACATTAATAACATGCTGAGCCTAGTCAAAGGCACATGCTTTGGAGCAGTTCTGTATCAGTCTTTAGTAAAACCATCTGCATTAGCATCTTCTCACCTTCAAGTATGGCGCTGCTTCAAAGGGCACCAGCTCTGACAAAAACTCAAAGAGAAAGACCAGAGCTTTCTTACTGCTCCCGTGGTGACCACCAGCATTCCCAAAGGCAGCCTGAAACACAGAAAAATGTCAACACAGCCTTTCAGCATGGAAAGAATCCCCATCTCAGCAATGCTGCAACTCAGTGCACAAATCCGACATCCATTAGAGATCTGCTTCCTGTCAGGAGAATCTTCCTGGAGAAAGAATCTTTCTAAAGAAAGACTACAGGCCATTAGGCAGAAGCTCTTCCCTGTGAGGGTGCTGAGGCGCTGGCACAGGGTGCCCAGAGAAGCTGTGGCTGCCCCATCCCTTGCAGTGTTCAAGGCCAGGTTGGACACAGGGGCTTGGAGCAACCTGCTCTAGTGGAAGGTGTCCCTGCCCGTGGCAGGGGGTTGGAGCTGGGTGAGCTTTAAGGTCCCTTCTAACACAGGATTCTACGATAAGTCTGCAGAGAAAGCTTATAGAAGTCTCTACAGAAGTTTTGACTTTCTCTGTCCAGTTTCCAGAGTCTGCCATGTCGCACCTAACACTCATTCTGATGTGCTACCATGAGAACACTTAGAGGAGTTAAACAGGGCAACACTGAAATGCATCAAATGAGTGAGATTCATGAGGGAACCACACATCTGCAGGTTTCCACACAGGTTTACCCAAGCATTGTAAGGAAAATAAGCCAGTCTGAGACAACACAGAACATAACTGATTTACCTTTTGGTACATCCTGAACGCTGCATCAGCAAAGGCTGAGGTTTAGATTTGCAAGCTCATATGAAGGAATTTACAGGCTTAAATTATGTGGAGATTTGCATACCTAAAATACCTGCATGTTTACAACTAGAAGCTAACAACCAATTATCTATAGGGTCAAACACAGCAATTACAGCTGCATGCAAACATCCAGGAAATACAAATGTTTCATCAGCAATAACCCACAGCTTATGCAGTAAGAACAGTGTTGGTTATCAAGATACTGAAATACATCCAAGATTATGATTATAATAGGAATTACATGTCTGCATTCCTGACAAATAACATGAGAAGGCAGGATGGACTTAAAAGATGAAAGGAGGGAAGACCAGGGAAAG